TTGGTGAATGCCACAAATTCTCCTAAATCACTCGTACGCACAACTTAAGAACAAATCTGTGCGTACGAACAGTTCTTGCATGAGGCCCATTGACCTCTATAATGAGTTTAAAAAAGCCTTAAGTTTTGCAAAGAAATCCATATTGATCACTTGTGTGGGCGTTGCAGGCAGACTGTCAGCCACAGAGATGACAGCGGTGCAAAGCAGGGAGCTTATTTCTAGCTGCAGAGCGATTTGGAAGATGGTTATTTATTTTATTTATGTTATTTATGGTTACCATCCTACAGGCTCTGACCTGCTAAATACATTTGAAACTAAGTTTTTGAAAAAATCTGTAAAACTTGAAAAAAATTGGCGAGTTTGCTCTTTACGTCCGTATACCTGCAAAATGAGGGGAAATGCATGTAAATGAAGGACAATCCGTAGAACTTGACTTGCATGCATCTGTCAAAATGATCCTGGTCTAAGACCCCCGGTCTGATGGGTACCAGGTGATATGCAGTCCTTCAGGAACCCTAACCACTCAATAGTTTCTTATAAAATCTCACTTTGGAGACATTTAAATATCAGGAAAATCTTTCTCTGGTAACCCCTAAGGTTATAATAGTTTTGGATTTTTCATTATACTGTAGCTTAGTTTTATTTTGTTGTGACATTTTTCCTTTCATTTCATTTAGTTTGAATCAGTTTTCACAGTGGCTTTGATAGTTTTTAATAGTTATTATTGTATTTTTAATGCTTAGTTTTAGTTTAGTTTTTATTAATTCTAGTTTTTTTTTATAATTTGAATAAACGTATTTGCCAGTGCTTCATCAAGCTTGTGATGCTCCTGGGAGTTAAAGCTTAACTAGTTAATTACTAGTTAAAGCAGTCCATTATAGAGACACCTTCCTAAAATAATTGTGAAACTCAATTTAGCCAACTAAAAACTTGGGTGATTATTTTACGATAATAGTTGTCTCCAACCTGGTGCCTGTTGTTTGTTTTTCACAGAAGCTACTGAGAGAAGCTAGAGTGTCAGGATACTCATATCAGCCATCCTGTGTGAGCTTCATTCATGCAGTTTTTCCCTTGAGAAGTTTTCCAACTATTTTCTCACCAGTTTCCACTACAAGACACTTGATTTGATTTTTCTCAGTCATATTCAAAGAAATCGTAAAGTGGACTTTGCCTCTTTCACCCAGCTGTTGTTGTCACCATTAGAGCAGCAGCAGACTGTAAACAAGTGTTACAGACATGAGGTGCTGTAAGCTGCCCACAGCTAATGTGAAAACACTCGATAAAAAAAAAAAAAGATCCACATGGCTCAAAATAAATTGACAAACACTGAGGATATTCTGTCTATAATTTCAGTTAGTTTTAGATTGTTTTGTAAAAAGATTATAAAGTTTTATTTAG